CTCCCATTAGGCTCAGCTGCTAGCACACCGCCGGCCGGTGCGACACACTCATCTCTGACGGTGTCCTGTGAGGGGGCTGCGAGTGTCCGAGCACGGGCTGGAATCCCCTCTGTGCTGTTTACTTTCCCACAACTTCTTCCATGGCCCGTGTTCGCTAGCAGCTTGAGAGGAGGTAACCCTCTTTGCTCCCTTCTCTCTCTCTCTCTCTGCCCCGGCCGTCTTACTTCTGTTCTATCTCCCGCTAACTCTAGACTGTCCCTCTATCTTTTTAGATGCCCCCCCACGCCTCCTAACCCCCCCCGCCCCACCAACAACCCCCTGGCCCATCCAGTCTCAATCTGTCCTTTCTTTAGTTTTCTCCCTCCTCCCACTCATCAGACCCCTCGCTGCTGTCCACACAGCGGCACAAAGCAGCGCGAGGGGCTCTCAGTCCCCGTCGACCAATGGGATAGTGCCAAAGGCAAGGTGCTGACCAATGAGAAGCCCGGTGGCTTGCACTTAAACCAATCGGAGTGGGATTTCGTGGAAAATGGGCAGGACCTAAGGAATTAGGGGCAACAGTGTTTCACAGAACTTCCCGTTCAGGTTAAAGGTGTCCACTCAAATACTGTACGGGGGTCAGAGGTGTGAGTGTCTAGAATGGAAAGAATGTCATGGCGTGTTAATGGTGTGCTTTTTTTACTTTGTAAACAACACTGACGTGATTTTGCGTAAGTACTTCTTAGCTCACTTAGTGGCCAGCACATACATCATGAAATAAAATTGTGGCCAAGTTTGTTTGTCTACATGATGGAAAAATAAATCAATCCAAACAAACAAGCAATCGAGCACAAATAGTATCTGCATAATTTGCTTAATTAGAGAATCAAACATGTATAACTTATTTAGAAAAAGCATTGCCAATCAAATTGTTACATTGGCAATGCATCACAGCTATTACTATTTAACTAACTTTGTAAAAGCTTAATAATATCCACCTACCTCTAAGCAGTTTGACACATAAGGAAGCATTGTGGTATGATTTGTGGTATGTGGATTGGAACGTAGAAATATCTGCTTGTGTGTAAAAAGGTGTGTCTTTTTATGGTGATTTGCTGTCTTTGGACTCATTTGTGGACGTAAAGCACTTCTCAAAGCTCTTTTATTGTGTCAGTGTATCAGTGTCCACTTTCAAACGCATTTGAAGCACTGCAGGTACATGAGAACAGTGCACTGTACTGCGTGCACTTTGCTTAAGGGACAATTCTCAGCTCACTAGTGAATGCACAAGTTCATTTTCTTTACCCGGTAGAATGAAAACAAAAGAAGAAATGATCAAACATTTTCTTTGTTGTCCAGAAGATTTATTAAAACACGTCAAACAAATACACAGAATACAAATAAAAAGATGACAATTCACTTTTTCATTCAATTGCCATACAACACAAAGATCAGAACCATAACACTGCTTGGAGCTCATTGTCTGTAAATGCTAGATACACTGCCACCTCCCAAGAGTGAACCGTCAAACGCTTCACATGCTGTGCATTCGCTGCAACAAAGGTGCCTTTTATCAGGGTCTTTTGGTAGCTTTTGAAGCCATGTTAATAAGCAAGTACATACATTGTTAACATATTTATAATATTAGACTGAAGCCTTCAACAGACATACATTCATACTGACTTCAGTTTGATTGCATTTCATTAGAGTATTGTGTTTTTGATGTCATTGCTCCAGTGGGAAAAGACATGATTTTGACTGATTAGCACACACTTGTGCACATAGCAGTTCTATGGCAACACTATTCAGTGGACATTCGTCTTTTCTTTTTTCTTTTTTCCAGCTTAATACAAAAATCTATATGACACAAACTTATCTCTGAAAAGTTGTTCAAGTATTTACATGTTTGAGGTCCTATCTGTCAAGCAACTTATTACACATCATGGTCAAGTATAGGATGGCATCAACTGAAACACACTCAACGTTAAGCACTAGTTAACACTAACAAAGAGTAGCACAGAAACTGGTATGATACACTTTAAGGTTTAGCTCAGCATGTCACCCAAATCGTCATGTTTTTAAACTGAATTCAGTTTAAAATGAAAGCATACTGAGAGAGACTATGGGGAGAGGTGGACACAGTCTTAGAGAATGAAAAAAAGAGCACCTCAAAAGCACATTCAGTTGGCAGAGAGGGTGAAAAAATACACTAAATTTCACTAAATTTGTACAGCACTACATAGCTCCTTACCTTAAAAAAGTAAAGTCACAATTTGTCATTTTAATCATTGGAAAAATAAAATTAAATTGACAAAGATGTCTCTATAAAGACCAGTAGCAAACATTTCAGCACTGCTGTCATAAAAACTGAATCATGGTAATACAACAATCCACTTCCAAAAAGGCTGGGAATCTTTGTAGCATTTAATTCAAACGAAAAACAATGACTTGCAAATCACTGATTAGTCTTTTAAAGGGGTAAGTCTTTCAAAGGTAATACTGGGGAGGGCGTGAGCACTCTGTGAAAGACTGGGTGGGCAAGAGGATCAGCAATTTAAGGTTTATGAATATAAAATTGCAAAGGAATGGGCAGATTTCATTATCCGCAATGCATAATGTCACAGAATGATTCATAGTCTTGAAAAATCTGTCAAAAGTGGACGGTGTGAAATCAACAACAACAACAACAAAAATAAAAAGCAGAGATCTCATCGAGCTAAAGTAGCACAGAAAAAATAGACTCTTTGGTGAAAATCCCTGCTGCTCGGGAACACTTCTGAAAACCTTTGATTTGACAGTGAACACTGTTGCAGCATCTACGGCTGCAAATTGACAAAGAAAAAAACTAAACGGATGTCATAAAACACAACATCCACAACAATTCACTTGGCCTGAGGTGTTTTTGGAATCGGTGGATGATGCGTCCTCCGGGCTAAACACGGGAGGAACCACTGAGCTTGTTGCTAGCACACAGCTCAAAAGCTGGCATTTCTGATAGGATGGGGGCGTCCTAATTTGCACATCTGTGAAGGCACCATCAACGCTAATTGATTTGTTCCGGTTTTGGAGCAACGCGTGCCGACATCCGGATGATGTCGTCTTCGGAAAAAAAGGCTTTTTCTTATTTCAGAGTGATGATATGAAACTTCTAGCTTCTATCCCAGCAAACATCAGAGCAGCTGCTAAACTGATCTGCCCACGGTTCATACCGTCTATCCACTTGAAACCGATACATACGACAGACCCTGGAACGTAGATATATCTTATGTCAAGCAAGAACGGTGAAAACTACCCCATTTATGTTCTTACTTTCTAAAAATGAATTGCAGTTGCAATTGAAGTGTTAATTAAGTGTGAAACTGAATGTTTTTGTTTGCAAATCACTGCATTCTGTTATTCATTTGATTCAGTTATCCCTGCTTTTTCTTTTGGGAAACCTTGACAAAGAGTGTTTTACTTAATGAAATGAGTTTAGCGCATAGAAAGAGTTGAAGCTATAATACTAACATGCCTTCATACAAAGTAAGAGAACAGACGGCAAAATGGACTCTGCAGAGAAACATGGATTAACCAGGGGAGCTGTAGGTAAACATCTCAGAGAGTAATACTGTGCAACATCGGTCATTAAAAAAATGGCATACAGAGAACATTCCTTCTGATGTGGCTGTGGCACCTCCGTGGAGGAAATACACTGCATCAAGGAACAAATCATTCTGGATCATCTCCTGTAATGGCACCAAGTGACCAAATACATCCGATTTTATCACAACATAGAACGAGATAAACAGAGGCTCGGCCATAATAGCAAAACGAGTGTGTCATATGTCCTTTTTTTTCAAATATAACTCTTAACGATTAAAAGGTGAACTTGGAGTTTTTTTAGGACTTACACAAAAAAAAAAACACAACCCCCAATTCCGGACTGAGTTTGTCATCCAAAATCCTTTCCGTACATGAACCAAAAGCGTTTGTTTATGATAAAAGTCCCACTGGAATTGGACCCAGGGTTAAGCTCTACAGCTAATACTAACATTCAAACAAAGAAAGAATCACAATTATTGTACCACACACAGATATACTGAGTCCTCCCTAAAATGCTTTAAAAACCCCTCTTGCCGAAGTTATTTCTGTTCTGCTTGACTTCTCATGTCCGAAAACCAAGCTTCAAACTTCATCCGTGTTTGTGCACATATTTTCACTATCATAAGACCTATGTGAGGTAAAATAAAAAGCAGTCTCTGAGTATATACAGTACAAGAGCCCAGCTTGCACAGGTGCAGCAGAAAGCTGCATCTGCAGCTTTGGGCAGAAATTACTTCCTCCAAGTCACCAGCAGGTGGCGGTCTCACAAAGTCTGAGACGGACTGTCCTGCTAAATCCATTACCTTAGTCACTGGTTACAACAAGAATGATAAGAACAAATAGGAATGAAAAGTAAAGTTATTGGCCCTCGAAAATAGTCTAATATCAAACTACGACTGAATATGTCCTCAATTCCTGCCTTCCTCACCAGGAGCACGCTCCAGAGCAGCACAGTCACAGTGTACAGTACGCCGGCAAATGGATAAAAGCAAGGTGGTGCACGCAGAAAGGAAAAAACTGCAGCTTGCAAAAAACAAATCGCGCATCCCGTGAACAAAACGAGTCCCAATCAAGAGCGTCAGAAATTGAGTTTCAGTTCGTAGTCCGGGGGCTCATTAAGTCCTTTTCCCAAGAAGTTTCTTCCATTTCCCTCCAAATCTGCAGTTTGTCGTCGCAGATAAACAAAACAAAGAGCCACCGAAATCCTTCTATAGGATTGTTGAGAGATAAAAGTGCAATTTTAAAGATAGATACATCTGCATGAATCAAAAAGTTATTCGCCTTATCCGCACACAGTAGAGCGCTGTATTTTGTACAGTAAATGATGAGAGAGGAAGGAGCAGGACAAAGAGGAGGATGGAGAGTAAGAGGGCAGCAGTCATTCGTACAGATTCGATCCCTGGGAGTTTCTGACTTCAGGTCATTGACGTGGAGCTGGTCTAGTCCTCGATGCAGATAACATCACTGGGTTTGCCTGATTTTAGATCAGGTGTCACCACATCTCTCAAGGAGTCCAGTGATTTCTTGTCCAGATGGCTTGTGGGTGGTGGCGGGCCATTGGAGGACACTGTGGACAGAGGGGCGCGTTAGTCTTTTTAAAGTGTCCAAAAGTGTCCAAAATGCTTTATCTTTCAAGAGGAATCTCAAACAATACCAACAGTGGTACATGCTTAGATCAAACTTAGACATGGGCAGTACGTTTAGATTTTTTTTTTGTGTGTGATCCAATAGCTTTCAACATTAAAGAGTAATAACAGGGTTTTTCCTGCCTGCCTGGTGTAACATGTGATTCACTGTAAGTGTTGACTGTTACCGCTGACATAAGGTCCGAGTGGCATCTGACTGTAGTTGACCATGGGCTGGCCGCCCGGACCTCTGAATCCCCCGCCAAAACTGCTGCTGTACATCTGGGAGCAGCCAAAGCCGCCCTGGCTGAAAGGCTGCCAAACACATGAAAGTTAAAGCATCTCCATGCAGGAAACTGTGTTACATGGAATAGAATGACGAGAGGGCAAGCGTCTGGTTATACTGAGATATCTGGTGTGCGGTTTGCATTAATGTTTCTAGACAGTATTAAAGAGATTTTCATTCTACAGAACAAAAGCAGAAAATAGAAACAGAGGAAAACAAGTCCAATTTCGTCTGTATTCTAGAAACAGCAAACGCTGCCATAGCAACCAAAGTAGATAAAGGCCATTTGGATGACTTGAAATTATATTTATATATATATTTTATTTTTTTTTCCAAACAGAACAGAGTGTGCTCATCAAAGAGAGAGGAACAGTAATGACACGACTCAATTCTTATTTCAACCTTTGGGAGCAAAACGCAGACGGTTTGGATTTAGTTTTCTTTTCATTTTGCCATAGCACGTTTTAGTCTCGACAGATTTCAAACAGAAGAATGTGGTTGTCAAACCGGGACTGCAGAAAAACATCAGTGGCTTTGAACTGCATTGTTCCTGGTTTCTGTAATGCATCCTGGCATTTTAATGCATTTATTGAAACAGATTTGCTTTCCTGTTATATTTGATCATATCTTTGCATCTCAGTATATACAATATCCAATCCTCTATTTGCTTGCATGTAAAATTGAAGTCCTGAAACAGGCTGTGTAGCAACAAATGAGTTGCTCGTCAACAGACTTATTGTCTAATTTCAATCTGACCTCCTTAATTTCTGCTCCCCTGCTCACCTGCTGTGGAGGAGGTTCGCTGCCTCTACTGGTGAGGCGGCTCAGTATGCTCCTCTCAGACATCTGCAGGCGGGCCGACACCGGCGGGATCCTGGACAGCATGTTGGGCAGTCGTGTCACATCTGCTTTCATGTCACTCAGGAGTTCCTCCAGCTGGTTCAGCACTGTGGGAGAACAAGAGCAGACAGCAAGCCTATCAGAGACGAGACTGTTAGCATGTCCCCGAGCACGCGCAGCAAAAGTTGTGCAGAACCATTTTGAAGCTACTAAGAAACTTCAGCTATTTCTTGAGCAAATTAACTGTTAATCCAGGATTTGTAATTTCCATACTGCTAGAAACGAAAAGCTCTAAGGTTTGTTTTTACTGGCTGCAAAACCCAGAAGGGTCACAGACATCAGTTTGAAACTGTGAAATATTAATGGCTCAGCTTCATGAAGTCTTTGGCCTCTTTCCAAACCCTCATCCTTATAATCACTCCAAACTTGTTTTGCTGGTGAAGTAAAAACGAGCCACTGTGTGGAACCTTTGGAAAACCCATTTTGACTCTTTGGCTGTCCAGATGGATGGAGACATTAGGGAGAAAAAAGCTGGCCAAATGATTTTTATAAAAATGCATTTTCTGTAAATAGTAATGAGGAAATTCTAGACAATATTTTGGGCCTTTTTTTAACAATTTCAGCTCTAAAATGTCATTTTATGAGAGGGATTACACACCGTACAAGAAAAAAATCATACATGAAAAACATTCCCTTATAAGAGGTTGATTGTATAGCTTTATTTCTGTCTTTTACCAGATTTGAGCAGGTGAATAGGAAATGAGTTAGAGGGGTTAGTTTCGGAGCTTGAGCTCAGACCTTTGTGGAGCACTGCATTGGCGGGCTTGTTCCCTGCCAGAGACTCTTTGGACAGGTGTTGGTGGGACTCGGCCAAACATTCCACCTCGGCGAAGCGAGTGTTGAGGGCCATGGCGGGATGACTGGGGTCCTGGGTCATGTTGAGGTAGGCTGCCCTCCGCAGCTGCTCCTCAATCACCAGCGCCTGCTCCAACAGCTACGGTCAGAGCGGGGGGTGATGGAAAAGACAGAAAATTAAACGTAAGCGTGACCGACAGAAGCAGTTTGGCTCAATTTGCACAAAAGGTCAAAAAGCCTCAAGCGCTTGACATTTTTCGGTTGTATTTCTTTCCATTTTTCATTGTTTATTTTGAGGTTTTTAAATGCAATTTGCCTTAAAGCGACGAGCCAAGAACTTGTTCTTCATCTCTAGGTAGTTCCCCTTATGCATCTCCGTTTTGAAAGGCTCATTCAGAATTGCATAGCGGGGATCATTCTGAATGTCTTGCCAGCGAGCGTAGCCGTGTCTGAGATCATTTTCCTGTCAAGGAAAAAAAAAAAAAAAAGACCACAGAAGCCCACAAAATGGTTCAGAGAGAAAAACCATAGTGGAGCTTTATATCACTCCTCCCACTTTGCAAATACCAGCTATTCCACTGCAGATTCTTCCTGTCATTATTAATCACATTACTTTGCAAGAAGCTGAACTCCTCGCTCTGACACGGGCAAGGATACGTTACGATGCCAGCCAAGAGCCAGTAGTCATGGCGACGGTGCCAGATGTCATGCATTTTTCCAGAAGACAGCGCCGCTCGCTCCTCAGTTTGCCACAGAGTGTGCAGCTCTGATGGCACGGGATGAAAGCAGACGGTTCATAGAAAAAAAAAGCACAACATTCACAATGTTTACGTCCAATTTCATCAAATTGGAAAAAGCAAGTCCACGTTATTCCATGTCTTCTTTACAAATTATCAGAGGAAATTATTTTTTCATCAGTGCTTGGTAAATAAAAAAAAAGGTATTCTTACCTGTGAAGCCTCCGTCAGCAATATTAAACATGAACTTTGCTTTGAATCCATTTTTATCCTCTCTCCTACTCTCATCCATCTCTTCCAACGTGTCTTTGTCGCCGTTGATTCGACCTTCCAACACGTCTTCGCTCTTCACATAATCTGAAACAGTTACATAACAGTTAGGGGTGTATCAGTGATGTGGAATTGTTTAATTAGAAAATTCATTTAATTAACTATTTACCTGATTTGATTTCTTTGTCTTCATTTTTATCCAGAGAAGAGCCAGCGTCTCCTTTTTCTGAGGACTTTTCAGTTTCTTTGCAGCGGTCCACTGAGGATAAAAGCAACAAAAAAAAAGATAAAATTTACAAAGCACAACCTTGTAAATGAATCATTTTTTAAATGGCTGAATTATGCAGCGCTCACTCTTAGGTGAAGTCTGACTGGATGGCGTTTCTGCTAGTTTGAAAGCGGACTCTTTTGGGTTGGCAGATGGACCCTCGGCCTTGGCAGAGGGGGATTCAGTTCTACTCTTCTCTTCTCCAGATTTCTCCTCTGAACTGACTTTGCTCTCTTCACTGTCAGCCGTCTTCTCAGGTGCAGATGCTGGGTCGGCATTGGAAGCCTACAGGGAGGGGGAAAACAGACCGGGAAACAAAATGAGATAAAGGAGAGTTGGCAGAGGGCAGTGACACACCTTAAAAAGTGTCTGAGACTGTCAGACGCTTTTCCTATGGGGGAGAAAATGAATAATATTACAATGTGCTGATGGGAGAAGACGGACTAGACAATAAAGGAGAACAGGATGAAAGTGATGGGTACTAGAAGGAAAAAGGACTCACTTCCTGCTCTGACAGTTTCTTTCCATCTTGCTCTGTGGTCTCCTTGTCCTCGGTGGTACCCGGCAAAAACTCTGTCCTCTCTAAAGGCCAGAAATAAAAACTACTAAGCTCTACATTCAGAGAACAACAAAACATGACCAGTGCTGACACTCTGTGCTAACCTGGTGGGATGGGGGTGCCGGGCTGTGTGGCTACAGGGCTCGCAGGCACCGGAGTGTTGGGATCAGAGGACACACTCTCAATCAGTTTCTTCAGCTCCATACCAATGGGAATCAGATCCGGAGAGCTCAGCTTCCCGTTTACGTGTTCAAACTCCTGCACCTGCAGGAAAACAAATTCAGCTTCAGGTCCAATAGCCTCACAAGGAAACAGACCAGATATTTAAACTCTAGGACAGCATATATAAGCAATACCAGATCAGTTCAAACAACCTCTGAGTCGCTCATTTTAGTCTTAGATTGCTTTTTTAGATCTTAGCAGGTGAGCCAACTAGCCCAAATTCATATTCACTCACACCAAAACTTAGATTTCTGATGTTTAGAGGGCTGATGTCAGTCTGCATGCATAATACTATGAACTGTAGGCTGGCATTGCCTCCTGTTATTTTAAAGTACGTTCAGGGATGTATTTACTTATATGGTAGTGTCTACACAGTGTCTTGTTTGCAGCACGTTTTTTCAAGTCTTTAAATATTTATGGATTCTGGTATAATACACATAGTGCGAGAGTACGACAAGCAACATTTTAGTAAGAGAAAGAAAGTTTTATAAGTAGCTTATCTGTTTTTAATCTATATGTGAATTTATATCATCCAAACACATTTTTGTACAATTTTTCTAAAAAATAAATCCATTTTTTTATTAGTAACTTCTCTCTTTTTAATCTATATGTCAACATATAGATACTATACATTTCTTTTTATGCTATACGGGAAATTTAACTGGTTGAAAAGAGTCTTAATCATTTCGAGCAAATATAATCCAAGAATTTAACTATAAATGCATGTTTATCAGTCAGTATTTACTGACTGACTGACTTATAAAACTGACATATATCTATTTTAGCTTATTTAACATAGCAGAAAAGGTTCATTGGGAAAAAAAGGTCTAAGTCATGCAGAATGTGTAGTTCCAGACATACAATCCGGTCTCGGGCAGGTAGAAAAACTAACACAGCAAACACAGTGTATCAAAATGATCCAGCTCTGTGTCGTCTGTACACAGAAGACCTCTGTTAATGCAGCTGAAAGCTTTCTCCATTTCTATCTATTCTCCTGGTTTATTGTTATTGCTTTAACATTTTACATTGTGGTTATGTAAAACAAAAAACAATATAACCGCAACGGCTAACATCATTTGATCAGTGGCATTCCTTCATTAAGATAAAAACAAATATTTGTATGCAGTGATGGTTGATTTTGGTTTGCATACGAAAGTACCTGAAAATGTTTTTTATACTATTTAAGAAAAGAAAACCTTACATATGTAATATCTTATGCTATGGTGCCTGTGTTGATGATATACAGTCTTCCTATTTACAGAGCTAACTGATGATTGGATGACACCACAGATGTTTCTGAAGTTTTACTTTGCAACCTAATTCCCGAAATGAGTAGGAAAAGGAGAGGAATCGAGATTTTTCAGATCAAATGATCTCATCCCTCATGTGTAAACGTGGCAAGCACATCTGAAAAAAAATCATTCTTTTTTAGTGTGTAAGAAGTTTTAAGAAGGGGACAGTCTGCACTCCTGTGAGCGTTCTCCCTGTTAACTCCTGCCAAGATGCGGTGACCTACTTTTTTCCACTCTCGCAGTTTTTCAGCACAAGACTTGCTGTTCTGCGGAGAAAACGCCTGAACAACTCGTACCTTTTTCCTGACAAGCGACATGACTCCGATTCTGGTGAGAACATGCTGACGAGACAGTCCCTCACGGGGGACTCCATCAGCGAAGGTCTCCGCTCCGTCGGCCCCTGGCTCACATAAATGTCTCATGAACAGGGACACGTAGGCCCTGGTAAACAAAGACAGCTCAGACATTACAAAGAAGAACCCCGACAAGTGCACAAACTTTAGACTGTAACGCTGAATAAAGCCCACAGTTGCCACCATGTCAGAGACTTTCATCCAGTCAAATTCAGTATGAACTGATATTTATCACGGACTGACAAAATCCCTGTTAGATATTATACTTTTATATATTTGTCCCAACCTTTAAAATTGCAGTTGTTTTTTCACTGCAGTGATTAAAGAAAATATGCAAACAGAAAACATTATTTGGGTTACAAATCATCATTTATATGTTGTTTTCTTCTCAAGACCCATAGCTGTTCCAGAATATTGTCTCAGAAGATGTAGCGTGGCATTATAAGCGACTACACCTATAATGGTACCTTGCAGGAGTCTGAGAATCTGAGAGTTTTAGTAACTATGGGCCATTCTAGTTAGTACACAAAATTGGTCATGGGTTATTCATAAGCTCATATATTCAAATGAGATTTTTTGGACCCAGGAAGATTTATTCCCAGCGGATCCAGGATTTCAGTATTCCGTCACATTTTGTTCCTTTTTTCGATGGGGGTGAAATGTAGGCTTAAATGTAAATATATCAAGTCTAAGCCGAGAGAGGAAGTGTTTAACACTCAGTCATACGTGTATTAGACACAGCAGCAACAGAGGTATCAGTAAGAGCAGCAGCACTGGGAATATGAGGTGTTACGGCAGCACAGCAGGGTATGAATTACAACCCGATACGACTCCCCTGGAGCTTTGCGGCGAGTGAGCAAACATGGATTGAATAGGTGATGAAGAACTAGAAGTGCCTCTCATTAATACTGGCAATCCTCTTATGTCAGTCACAGCATTTTTATATGCCGGTAGAGCATGTGTCACTTTAAAATGGAAAAAAGTTTAGGACATCACCTGAATTCCCGCTCACTCTTCCCTCTCAGGTCCCTAACCAGCCAATGGGAGTTGAACGCATCCTGAGGCGGCATGCCCCAGCGCATGATGGCGTTGAGGAAGGCTTTCCTCTGACGGGCGTTGAACCCCAGGACCTGGTAACAATCAGCAGTAAACAGGGTAAACGTGTGTGAAACAGAAGATGCAAGGAGCAGCGAGCAAACAGAGCCTCAGTAAGCCCTGCGTTTTACACACGCGACAATATGAGGCATCACACTCTGCACAACTCTAATATTTAACAATTTCATTCTCATTCAAGCTCTATCAGGGTTTTCTCAGAACTGGAACAAAAAGGGGCCCTCTTATCTCCAAAAATATCTCTATTTAAATGCAGTTACAAGAACGTTTGGGTCGAACTACATGTGCGATTCGTTGCAGGCAGGTTATAATATTTGTGGACAAGACAGTGATGTAAAAGGAAGTCATACTTCTATACTGCCTCCGACACGGGCCAGTAGGGGTGGCAGAGGTTTGTCTTTCTCATTCTTGAGCTGCCGGCGAGACTGTCTCCTTCCACCTACAAAAAAAGACAAAATCCAGTCATTTAACATCTCTAAGGCTGGGCTTGTTTACAACCTGGATCACCAGTTCCACCCGTGGTCCAGAATCTTTCGGGGGGCCACACAATGGGGCTTTCTGTCCCTTACCTTCAGGCCTCTCCTCGAAATCTTCGTCCTCGTCCTCGGACCCCACAGAGTACTCCGACTGATTGTCTGAAAGATCATCCTGCCATTCTGAGCCACACATCAAAGAGAAACAGTACATTGCATTCGCTTCTGTTGGTGGCCACCTGAGGGCGCCGTGGCGCTGCAGATTACTGCAGGCCACTTCAGCACAGAGAGGCACACACACGGCACGCCGCTCGTCTCCACTGGGAGGGAGGTGAGAGTTGACGACTACGGCAGACACTCACTTAAAATTAGAGTGTCCTCTAAGCTACAATGGGCTTTGAAAACCGTACACACTCCTGAAAGATCAACTGCAGTACAACGGCAGTAGGAAAAGAAAGTACCAAACTGGTGGTTTCAACCGATTTAAAACTCTTTAGGAAGCTTTCATAAATGCATGAGGTCAAGTAACTTTAAGGCCATCAAAACATCACACATTATGTGGCATGTTTCCCATATTTAAATTTACAATTTGTGCATCAACCCAAATTGAATTTTGCTAAAATAATCTATCCAGTTTCTATATTTTTCAACTTAAGTAGAGTGGCGGGGGTGCATGAGCCTATCCCAGTCCTCATTGGGCAACAGACAATGTGACACAGACAATCATGCACATTCACTCCTATGGTCAATTTGAAGTCACCCACTAACTTAACATGGATGTTTTTAGACAGTGAGAGAACACACACATACACAGGGAGAAAATGCAAACTACACACAGAAAGAAGAAGGAACCCTGTTGCTTTAGGGAATAATACTAACCATCGAGTTCAAATAATCTTACAGAACTCCAACTCCATAATGCCACAAAACTGACAGGTTTTGAAACGAACAGTCCGTACCTACAATTACATGACTCAAAAGATATCGCAGATTTTCAGACTGTATGAAAATAGATGGATGAAGAAAAAATTAAGCTTCTGCTAAAGTGCCTTTATTCTTAATTTATCATGCATATTTCTTGGTTGTAAAAGTCCAAGAAAATCAAAAGGGGATAATAAAGCCAAATTAAGCTCTTTCCTCTATCCTGAAAGACGGTGCCACCTTGTCTGGAGCTTGAAACACTGGCCAGTTTATGTATCTGTTATATATCTGTTACTTTTCGTTGATCGAACAGACTTACAAGTAGGCAGTGCAGAGATATGTTGGGTTGTCATCTCACTGACTGAGTTTGCAACTGTCATCTTAACAGTTAAACACTACCGAGCATAATTCCTTTCAGGACAAAAAAGAAAGGTCTTCCTTTCACTACATACTTTCAGTGAATGAACATGTGCATGTTATAACAGTAGTCACGCACACATGTGACCCACGCAGACACAAGAGATATCAGTGATGTGTGTTGTTATTGTGTTTTAGACTTTCAAATGTTTTCATTGGGAAAAAAATGCGTGTGTGTGCAACCACAAAGACGCAGTTGTGTACACCCACGAGTGGTGATTCACTCCAATAAGCAGCGTTCCCACGTCACTGCACGTCAACTGAAGTAGGACCTAAATCTTTAGTATCAGTCGCTAGGTGTCACAGGAAATGGAAAACCAACATTTCTATATGGTATAATCTCTCCCTTGATATGTAAATTACATATATATTTTCTCCTGCATGCAATATGGCCTTTTGTTATATGTAATTCTTAACTGAGCATAAAGCCTTTCGATTCTTTGTTCTTCTTTTAGAAAAATCATATAGAATAAATAAAGCAAAAAGGCATTGAGTGCATTTACAGCTTTTGCTTTCCGTCAGATTCACAACTTACTCATGACTAACCTTAAAAATCAACTCCACCAGCCCATGTGCTTTGTCCATCTATTTCATACAGTCTGTGGTTTTTATACAAATGAATGGTCCAGGAATGCCAATCCAAAAGGCAATATTAATTATCCACTGTCAGCGGCTGCCTTGTGGGTAATCGTTTTAACATGACAGTACAAGACAGATTAGCGCAAACCCCAAGCATGAACCTGCTGAGTGGCTTATTTAGAAATAACATTTCCCCTGCCACCTGTCCACAAGCCAATTGCTAAGCTGGTGGCTAACAAGCCAGGAGACCAATTTTACTCTGTTTTCCTCTTCCAGGGTGCTCATGTGTTGTTTTTCTTTTTTGGTTTGTTTAAATATGGTACGAATGCCAAATCTTGGCACACGCACTTAAAAATGGAGTGGCAAAAAAAGAGTGTGGCAATTGTGTTAGTGAACACTGCCAGGAATGATTTTTGTGCGCCGCTGCTTTGGTTTAACATTTTTGGCTAAAGGTTTGTGAGAACACAAAAAGGGTTGAAATGTGGGTGGGGACTGACCAGGTCTGCTGACAGGGCCTACCTTGGTCCTCCTGGGTCGTGTCATTGTAGTTAACTTGCTTCCTGATGCGCTTGCCTTTGCCCAGATTGCGTGCCAGATCCTCCTGCTGCTGCTCGTAATGATGGCGGAGGAGTTTTTCCCAGTAGTCGGGGTCCACGTTCTCCTCCTGCTTGATAATCTCGCGCTCCACCTCCTCCTGACCATGCACACACACATAAACATATTCAATGCTGGTGGCAGGTATAGAGATGTGAAGGTGAAAAGAAAACTGAGAATACAGATGTATCTGCATATAAAATCAAACAACATCTTCTTTTAAACTGTGTCATCTCAGTCTTTGAAGTTGCAAAATTAAGGGAAAATGTATCAAAGTGGCCTATTTCCTGTGTGTCCATATTCATTCTCAAGCTGAGGATTGTTGTCATATTCTTACCTCTCCATCTTCCTCCTTCACCACGTACTGAGCTACCTTAAAGGAGCTCAGGTACTCGTTCATGTTCTGGATCTCTGTGTCCTCTGTGGCATCCTGGCTGCGATCCAGCAGCTTTGAAATGGCATCATCATCGTAGTGAATCACATTGCCCTCCTCACCATCTTTGTTATCACCTGGTCGTGATTAGATTTTATTCAGTTATCAAAAAAACCCTTTTAAAACGAACAAAAAGCCTGCACCTAGCACATAGCATGAAAGGTTTAATTTTTTTTAACATGTTTGTGGCTAATTTACAAACTGCCCTTATAAAGAGCTGCGTTCTTGGCAAGAAAAACTTCAGCCCTAAGATATTTAAACCTTGGACATTAGTACTCCCAAGATAGGGGGAGACGTGGCACCTCACGGTTTTTCAAAACCAGAAGCCTCAACTTGTGCAAATCTAAAATAGATTAAGTTCAATTCAATCTCATTTGAAGTGCACCAAACTGTGTTGAAAATATTCATCAAAAGATAGTAATACCCATGGCTCGTGCTGCCTCCATTTCATCCTTAAAAAGCTCTTCAGTTCCAAATTTGAGGATATCATCCAGTTCTTGCTTGGACATGGAGCCAGTTTTGGATCCCAGGCCAGGCCGCACCACCAAGTGCGTCAGCATCATTTTCCTCTTTGCAACCTGAGTGATTCTCTCCTCCACTGAGCCCCGGGTCACAAAACGGTAGATCATCACTTTCTTGTTTTGGCCTATACGGTGGGCTCTGCTGAATGCCTGGGAGAATGAACATAGAAATAAAGAAAGGGACATCAATGCACTGCTTAGACTTCAAACTTTGGCCGGCATGTGTGCGAATCCATCATGCTTTGTGTGAGAGATCAGTACTTGGATGTCATTGTGTGGATTCCAGTCGGAGTCATAGATGATGACTGTGTCGGCACTGGCCAGGTTGATGCCCAGACCACCGGCTCGAGTGGAAAGCAAGAAGCAGAACTGCTGTGCGCCCGGAGCTGAAACGCCAAACAAAGGAAACGATTGCTTTATGTGCAAGAGAGTGTGATAAAGTGACAGTTAACTTGAGAAAAATGTCGATCTAAAACCACATAAGCTCAGACTCTAAACGTCTTAGAAAAACTCACCATTGAAGCGATCAATGGCCTCCTGCCTAAGGCCTCCAGTAATCCCCCCATCAATACGTTCATATTTATAACCCTCAAACTCTAGAAAATCCTCCAGAAGATCCAGCATCTTTGTCATCTGTGAAAAAGACAGTGTTCAAAGCTCGGTAATGTTAAGAAAAAGGTATATCAGTCTTATCATTTGTTCATTTTCATGTTACCTGAGAGAAAATAAGAACTCTGTGCCCTTCATCTTTCAGCTTCTTCAGCATTTTCTGAAGCAGCGTCAGTTTTCCTGAGGACTTCACCAGCAGGTTGCCGTCATATGAACCGTTGGGTAAAACAGGAGCCTCCTTGAAAAAAAAAGAAAAAAAAAGTCAGCTTTGATAATCAAAAATAATCAATTAGCCACATTCAGGGGCCAAACGTTTGTGAAATATCGACCAAACACTCTGAAACAAGGACAAATTTGATTGCTGTCAATTAGGCAGAACCATTAATCATTAGTAACTGGCTGCTTACCACAGCAGCCACTGGGAACAGATAGGGGTGATTGCAGCACTTCTTCAGGTCCATCATAATGTTGAGTAGGGACACCTGGTTACCTCCGCCTTTGGAATTCAGCGCCTCGAAGTTTCTGGTCAAAATAAACTTATAATATTTCCTGCAGGTCAAAGGTGGAAAAGAATTGTGAGAATAGATGCCAATCTATCTGATCTGATCAAACACAGGCAAGTTTTTTTAACAGGCCTACTTCTGCATGGGGCTGAGCTCTACTCTGACAATCAGTTCTGTCTTTGCTGGCATGTTCTTGAAGACATCAGCCTTCAGCCTCCTGAGCATGTGGGGTCCAAGCAGGTCGTGGAGCTTCTTGATCTGGTCTTCTTTAGAGATATCCGCAAACTCCTCCAGAAAGCCCTCAAGGTTACTGCAGAAAATTCAGAAAGAAGAATTCCGTAAAGAAGCTCCTTTACGTGGATCATATGCTTTTAATTCAGAATACACACGTAAACAGAGCCTGATATGTGTAACTGTCTATCTGTGGATGATCCCATATGGTATGTTAGCTAACAGCTGGAGGGAACATGGAAACAGGATGACAGAAAAGAGGATGGACTAACTTGAAGCGCTCTGGGGTGAGGAAGTTGAGCAGATGAAACAGCTCCTCCAGGTTATTCTGAAGAGGAGTCCCAGTGAGCAGCAGCTTGTAGTAGATTTTGTACCCGTTGAGAATTCTGAAAAACTGAGCAGTACACATTGTGCAAGATGTTGAAAGGCTATGCTTTGGCAATGACAGCAACAAAAAAAAAGAACTGTATAACTAAAACCACAGCTAGGGGATTTAGCTTTAGTTCCATCAATTTCCCTGCTGTTTTTTCCATAGGATATCACATTTTTTTCCGTTATTTGACCGAGTAAAAAGAGGCCTCTAATCACTAACATGGTGAACAAAAAAAGTTCTTTCACCTTTGATTGGTTGTTCTTCAGTCGGTGAGCCTCATCCACCACCAGGCACGCCCACGTGATGGAGCCCAGAATGGCTTGATCTATTGTGATCAGTTCGTACGACGTCAGCAGCACATGGAACTTGATTGGAGTGTCTTTCTACAGTGGTGGAGAGGCACACCGTCATGCATTGTGTCCACTTACCCAACCGTTTCCACTATTTCAAGCTCAAACAATCAACACAGAGGCTCTGTAAACACGTGCTGTGGAACAGCTGGGTGAGCGTGGGTTACCACACCTTCATCCGGAACACTTTGCGTCCAGATTTGACAGCGCTGTCCTCAAATGTGAACTCGTTCTCCCTGATTATGGCCCTGCTTTCTTTGTCTCCAGTGTAGGTCACCACATAGAAGTCTGGAGCCCACATCTCAAATTCTCTCTCCCAGTTGATGATGGTAGATAGAGGTGCGCTCACCAAGAAAGGCCCCTTAGAATGACCCTGACAATGATGGAAACAATCATTACCATTTATATTATGAGGGCGTGTCTGTTAGAGCTGATTTTAATATGGCCTTGGTAAAAGCGGACATTCTTCCCACCTTACCTCTTTATACAGTGAGTAGAGGAAAACTATTGTCTGCACTGTCTTTCCCAGACCCATTTCATCAGCCAGGATGGTATCTGTCCCCTGCGCCCAGGAAAATCTCAACCAGTTCAGGCCTTCCAGTTGGTATGGGTGGAGGGTTCCACCGGTGGCGTTAATGTACCAGGGCTGGTGCTCAAACTTGATGGTTGGCTGGTTGTGTGAAAATGCACATTTTATTTGTGATGGCTGCCTGAGCCAAAGTCAAGAAATTTGCCTTTGGAAAGCTGTATCTGATGCAGCTTACGTCTATGATGGGGGCGTCAGGAGGGACCTCCCTCTTGGGATGGTCCTCGTTCAGTTTCGTTCCTCTCTTTGCCACAAGGGGACGCTGATCCTCCCCCAAAATTTGCTCTCTGAAAAAGACATTTCTTAAGGTAAAACCTCTCAAACGGAGGGATCACAAGTAAAGGGAAGAGATAAAGAAACAGAGGATGAAGGCAAGTATCTGGTTCTTGATCTCCATCGTCAAAAAATTTGAAGAAACATCCCGAAAATGCTGTGAACCAACCTGTGGTCCCAGTACAAAGCTTTATAAGTGTTGTACTCTGGGACGTCAAAGTCATCCACTTCCCAGGTGCACTGGTCATAGGGCAGGTCTCTCCACTTAATCAGGTAATGAACATCCCCATCCTTGTCATAACTACACAGAGGAGTGAACATCAATATAAAACAGAGAACACAGGGAATGGTAAATGTTTAAATAAAGTCAAATATTGCATTTCTCAAAATCAGAAATGCAACATTATCAGAAAACTCTGTCTCTTTCGTCTCTCAATGATGCAGATAGAAGCAAGATGGCAGCAAATACCATGGACTTAAATATACTTAAATCCAGGATGTGTTGAGAAGTATAGATCTGTGACTTATCTGGCTCTCTACAGATTTCAGTGAGAGATTGAGAGATGAGAGATTTTGAGTAACTAGTAGCAGCCACCTGTGGTTCAGAATCCGATGGATAATCATCCATTCTGGTTTAATGCCATAGCGATAAAAGCGCTCCTCCATCGCAGCGTACTGAGGGTCTTTACTTTTCCTTTTCTCACTGTTAAGCTCCTCCTCTCCGGAGCCATAATCATATGGTGGCGGTTCGTCCATGTCGTTCTTTCTCTGGTAGTTTCGGTACATGACTGTATGGTACAGCTCCAACTGCAAATTCACAGACAAAAGACAGCAGGCTCTTTTGTTAGTGCAATGCAAGATTCGCCTAGGTAAAAGATTGTGTTGCAACCATAACGGGTCGTCTACCATCAGCTCCAACTTAGATTTAGTAAGATAAATATATCAAGACAACTCTAAAGACCTCACAGACTGAGCTGCATTCTTGTGACTGCATTCTGGAGGATTTTGCACGTAAATATGAGCAAAACGTATGTAGGAAAAAGGCTGATTTCTGATTTGCTCAGAATCTGGCATTTCACCTGCAGTTCGCTGACCCAGGAGCAGTGCCAGTAGGAAAGGCCAGCCCACTTAACGAAGAATTCCCTCTCTGGGTGGCCCTTGAGTGGGGGCTTGGTCAGAGGATCTGCTGGCTTGCCATCAGGGCCAGCGGGGAGTTCGGCTGGCAGCGGGGGCTCTCCCCACATCCAGTGCAGAATCTTTTGTACTTTACCTTTGAGAGGAGGGCACTGTGGAGGAAAACCCAGAGGAGCTGTCACACATGCATTTTAAATGACTTTTCAAGAAGTCCCAAAAACTGACTCTTCCATTTGATTTGAGCTTCAAGAAACAGCCAGAGGCTCAAACACATGTTCGTACTTTTTAAAAAAATGGGTAAAGATAAGAAAAGGGAGGACAGTAGCGCTACAATCATCTTTCTACCAGAATGAAAATGAGAAGGTTAAACATCATACAGTTAATATGTCACCCAAGTGTGTAATATATTTAATATTTTAATATGTCACCCAAGTGTGTAATATATTTCAGAATTAGCAATAATTTGGCATGCACACTCTGTCAGTGGCTGTGCTTAACCATAAAATGACGCAAAAATGATGACACCGTGACCTCATTAGGGAAAAAGCGGAAATGATAATGGATGGATGGATGGATGTAAATAAGGACCCATGTACATGACTGGAACATTGAGACAAGCTCACCATGCAGCGTGGACACAACCACTCGCCATTGGGGATCTCAGGCAGAGGCGGGTTGAGGCAGTGGATGTGGTAGGACGAGGGGCAGGTGTCGCAACACAGAAGCTCTCCTCCGTCTTTGCACACTCTGCAAAACTCCATGTGGTCGTCCTCTTCCTCACCGGCAGGCTCCTCCTCGTCCTCCTCCTCATCTTTGGCCTCCCACTGGATTCCCTCCTTTTCCTGGGGAACACAGTTGACATGAGCATGTAAGAAAGTAAAGAAAAACTACAATGTTTCTGATGTTTCCCGCCTTGTCGATGTGATTAGTCTCATTTATCCAGGCAGACGCATATAATCTGAAATCAGTCTCACTAAAAAGGCATAAGAGCAGATCTTAGTTTTAGTCAGGTATCAAACAGACAAAGGCACATCAAGCAGACTCTGCTTCTGCCTTATTATGCATATATATGAGAGAAACTAAAGCACGGCCTGGGCAGCCCTGGAGGCCTGACTGAGTACAACCAAAGCTAATCTTCATAGTAAACTGATGTGGTACTAATGCTAAGGAGTAAATGTTCAGTGTTATGGGTATCCAGTTTTTGCGTCTTTTTTTGTAAAGATTTTTTCATTTTTATAAGTCTTGTGAGACACAGACAGTCTGTTTGAATTATCATAGGATAAGGATGGAAAAATATGTGGCTGGTTAAGTGGGGCCATTGTGTCTTAGAGAGGACTTGGTCAATTGTACTTATGTGCTTACACACATGTTCAAAAGGATGGAATCAACAAAGGACCTACACAAAAAAAAAAGAAAGTATAAGTCGTGTAAAAAGTGTCACACAGGTGCTGAGTCCTACAGATGACAGTCTAGCTCAGTGGTAGAGCATTTGACTGCAGATTAAGAGGTTCCCAGTTCAGCTCTCGGTGCTCCTCCTACTTTGTAAAACGCTTTGGATAAAAGTATCTAATAAATGCAAAAACAGTAAAAAAAAAAGTAGGATGAGTCATTCTGAACTTTACAGAAAATGGCAAATGCAACTGTTTTCTTTAAACTGGATCAGTATAAGAAAAAACACAGAAATACATAAGCACTGAGTTTGTATTTTATAAGGACTTCAACAGTGTCTTATGTTTAATCTTTGGGTCAGCTGGCAAGAGACCCAGAAAAATTCTAATAACAAATCCATGTGGCTACAAGAATTTGACTTCCTCTTTGCCATATTTGATCTCTTTCCATTAAAATAAAATAGTGTCTAATGAATAAATTAGTCTAATTTAACATAGGTGCTAACATTTAACATTTAACATAGGCGTTCACAATGGTTGTGGACAGATACAATTTTTTTTAATATATTATGTCATCTGTTTAAATTTTGATTGATATTCTATATACTGTATTTCAAACAGACTGTTCCTTTTTAATATCAAGGTTGTAATGTTACATACTTAAACTGTGGTGTCAAAGTATTTGTGGGAAATCCCTATAAATACATCTGACAGTGTGATCCAGGTATAACTTACACAGTGTGGACAGCTCCATTTACCCTCGGGAGCTTTCTCCAACTCAGGGTCCAGACAGACCAGGTGGTAGGCTCTTGGGCAGGTGTCACACAGGATGATTTCTCCACCTTGCTGGCAAACCTCACAATAGTCCTGGTGGTCTGTCTCGTACCCATCGCCGTCCTCCTCTGGAAAGAGGGAAGGACAAGTCAGACATGGAAAGTCCTGATATAGGCTCACATCAGTGCACTGTCAGGATTACAAACACATGATGGTGAGTCGCGTTTAACGGCTCTTAAACACTGCACTGACCACAAGAACAAGCTAAAACAGATCTTAAACACACTGCCAAGACCATTCCCAACAGCCAGCAGGCGACTTGAGGCCTAAACTCTTCACTGCAGAAGGGGGTGGTGGTCCAATTTATATTTTTCAACAAAGGAAATGAGAGACAAAACTGCAAGCAAACACATGTAAGGGTCATCATTAATCATAATCAAACAGTCTTGCTCGGAAGAATTTGGATGGGACTTGGGAGGGAAAAAGAGAAACAGAGCATGGAAAGATTAGACGATAAACATACTTTTCCTTTTTTTCCGCCCACGCCGGGCTTTTTTCTTGTTGGTGGCCCCCGAGGTATCAGAAAGCACAGATGCGCTGTGGATGCTGATGTCATCAAAGTCTGACTCCTCCAGGAAGTCCTCCTCGCTCTGGTAGAGCAAACACACAAGCCGAAAAGCTCAAAGCTCCAGAAAGAATTTCAATGAATTAACTCAAATAGCAAATAACAGTGGCAACTTTCATTTGACGGAGAAAACTGTCTTTAAAAACAGTTCTCCAAAATCACAACACGTACTGAGGATGCCTTCTTCTTCTTTCCACTTTGGCCCGACTTCGATTTGGTCTTTTTCGGCTTGGGTTTCTTCTTCACTTCTTTCACTGTCTTGCTTTTCTTTCTAACTCCTGGTCCTGGGATTCAAACATAAGACCTGTTAGCTGCTGGATATTTCAATTATTTGTTTTTTTTCCTCACACAGTCACTAGACCTTACCCTTCCCCTCTTTGGTTTTGGCTTTTTTGATTGGACCCAGCTGAGAGCCCAGCTGGCTGCTGCTGACAGAGGTTGGCGGTGCCACGGTAACCGTTTCCACGGCGGCGGCCACAGCAGCGGCCACGGCGGTGGCAGATGCGCCTTTGAACGGGTTGTTGGCGCTGAACTCCCGCCACTTGGCCCCGAGCACTGTCATCATCTTCGACATGGGAATCTTGGGATTCTTCTTGGCGATGAGAGGCCTGAGTTAAACCAATGGGAGAGCACACGACAACGGCAGCTTTATTATGTCACACCGCATTCCTTTTGTTGTATTTTCCCCTCCCCTCAGGGTCTTGATTTGCTGACATTTCACTGGCCCTTGAGTTTCGATCTCCCCTCTCTGCGGCGTGTGTGTGTCATGTTTGTGATTTGTCAGGCAACAGCCTGGTGTTTGGCACACTGGCCTGTGAAAGAGAGTGGGTCAGAGCACCGAGTCCCAGAGCCTCCCGGCTGTCACAGGCATCCAGCAAGCAGCTGACTGCACACAGGGGGCACTGCAGGAGCTCATGCTCTCCACTTTGTCAGAGCACAGGCTTAGCTGAGCCAGACAGCCCCAGGTGAGGCAGGCGCTTTATGCCAACAGACGGGCTTTCTAGCTCAAACAAAAAGAGCAGTGTTAGCTTGTCACACCACACTGTTGTCTCACTGTGGAGTCTTGCTGGAAGACTTTCAGCTGGGAGCTCTGACAATCCGCAGAAAAACCCAAGCACTAAAAAGCAGTTTAAAAGAAGATAATGCAGACAAAAATAGGATGCTTGCCTGAGGAACTGGCTGAAAGCCTTGTAGTTTGTGATGGTTTTGTAGTCGTCCTCCGTGAAGCCGTACTGAACATCCTCAAGGCCCCATTCAAGCATCAACTGACTGGAGGATTTCGGCTCCTAATGAGGTTCAGACAAGAGACATCAACAGTCGTAAATGAAATGATAACCGTTTTTGTCAAAGGCTAAGATGCTATTGACTGCCTTTGGAGCTAAACCGTGACACCATCCACCAGGAATCAGGCCCATTTCTCTGACCTGTGAACACTAATCCCCCGTTGTGACAGATTATTTAGACTTGTGACCTGTAAAGGGAAAATTCTATATATAATGCATTTGTATGTCATTACCTGCCCCAGCGGCTCATTTAGAAAGCACAAACAATCAATAGCGTTCAATCAAGTCAGCAAAGCTTGAACCCAATTAGCACACAATCATTCATGAGGAAGTCAAAGTTGCTCACACACCACCATCCTTCAGTAGATAGTAGAACCGGTCTGGGGTTAGATTTCTTAACAGGAAAAATGTACAGAAAGATCAAAAAGGAGGATGGCAATAAGCTATACCAGAGACGGGATGCTTGGGTTAAATCTTATTATATTTTTTTCAGGAAGTTGCTAGCTAGTTAGATGAGAAAATGTCATTCAATTAACACTTATTAGACATGAAAGGGGATCTATACTACGCATAAGCTTTGAATTTAAATATATTTATGTTTTCTTTTTTTTGTTGTTGTATCATTTACTGTGTTCATAAAAAAAAGAGTTTCTGTTGAGCAGAAACATCTCAACATTGAATGCTTTCACAAAGTGTTTTCTTTTTGTGTGTGTTTTGTGTGAAGTCAAGGTTTGTTTATTTCAGCAAAACCACACTACAGGGTGAAGCCATTGATGTTGACCTGGAAATTTGAAGAAATTTACTTGGATGTTATGTGTTGTTACATTGTGGATTTGTGCCAAGAGTTTTGGAAAATGGAGACAAAGCTCTAACAATGCCATAATTCAGTGTTTATCCCAATTTGCGCTTTTCAAACCTTTATCTCCTATCCTGCTTCTTTTAGGAACTCTAAAAGAAAGTATCTAAAAGAAGTATTCTTAGTCCTTTTGGCACAGATTGTTCAAGGTGCCTTTGTTTAACCTGATATCATTGAAGTACAGATGCTGAATGGGGCTGCACAGTGGTGTGGTGGTTAGCGCCGTTGCATCACAGAAAGAGGTCTCCCTGTTCCAGTCCCGGCCAGGAGCTTCTGCGTGGAGCTGGCCTGGTCTCCCACTTCCTGGGTGGCTATTGTCCAGATAACTTCTTTCAAATTTCATTGAATATATATCTCTGTGTGGTCGTGTGATGGACGGGTGACCTGTGACCTGACACAGCTGACGGGCAAAGCAGAAAACGATGCATCAGCGCTATTTTTCTACCTCGGCCATGGCTCTGCCCTGCCTGCATGCGCTTTCAAAGCCTTGGAAGAGTCCTGCGTCACCACCGGTTTGTGGGTGTGAATCAGCAAAACTGGCACAGCTTCTCTTTGTAAATTGTTGCGTGAAAATAAACTTTGACAGTTACATCTTAAGAAGGGGTTCTGTCATTTGCCACCAGTGGACCAAGAGATGGGAAAATAATCAAATTCAGAAGATGGATTTTTTTTCGCCATTCGTTTAAAGAAAGCTTTTTTAAGTGAGCCTCTCTTATTTAATCCAGACTTACTGGCTTCAGCATTATGTTAAAAATAATAACTTTGTCTACTGTCCTGACGTGTGACAGACTATCTAGAAAAAAAATAACCGGCTCCTCTGGCAAGTCCTGGTGTTTCTGGTACTGGGATTTGCAGGAAGTCGCCAGCTCCCAGTCAGAGAGGCTCTAATTGGTGTCAATCACTGTCACTTCTACAGGCATTAGGGTTACTAGTTTGTTTAAAAAGAAAAGGGTTGTCTGAAGAGAAGCACAGCAGAGAGGAAGCAGAAGTTATTTTCTCCCTTTTATTTATTTATTTACCTAACCTAATTCAGTTTTCTTGTTATCTGCTGTCTTTTTAAAATAACCCTTTAGAGTTGCAATACACAACTGAAAACTTGACTTTTATTATAACTGAAAATGGAACTACAACTCAGTTAAAGGTCCTCAAGTTTGAAATACACACCCAATAAAAGTGGCTCTGATTTAAATGTACATGCAAGAAGAACAGAGAGTATGGAGTTGGTCCGGTGAGACTCACTTTCATGTTACCATCGTCATCGTCGTCGTCATCATCATCCTCGTCCCTCTTCTTCTTCCGGGGCTTTTTTTCTTTCTTCTCCCTAGGTTTCTTCTTCTTCTTTTTAGTGGGGCCATATGCGCTGTTTTCACTCTCGGAGCCTATTTCTGGACGTTCCCGTTCCTCCTCCACCTCAGAGATCTCCTCCAGGTCGCTGTCCACTCTTGTCTGGAGTCCTCCCTGCAACAGGGCACAATACATTTCAAACGTGCACGTTAAAATGCCAGGGATTGGTTGGTTGGACTTCATTTGAGGTGGTATCTAAGGTGGTGGTCACTATCATGCAGATCTCTGACATCTAAGTCTGATTAACTAGTAGATGTCGCACCACTCCATTTTACAACATGACAAAATGTCTTTCCTCTGAGAACCAATTTCAATACTTGGAAAAAGGGAGAGGATTAATTAATAAATTATGAGACTTGATAATTCAAATAACCATGGCATTAATTTTTGAAAGGCTTAGGGATTAGAGCTGCCACAATGACTCGCCCACAGAAAAGTAAAATTAGAAAATACAAAAAGCACAAATAAGCAGGTGCTGTCATTGTCCTATGACGCATGATTGAGCTTGATGGCGTTTCCACAATTCGAATTAAATCAGGTCCCAGTCTCTTAAGTCAACAAATGAAATAATTCCATTTTGTGTGATAAACGGATGAGTGTGAGCTGGAAGTGAGCGCTGTGAGCCGTCGTGGGGTTAAAACCAGATTCCATCTTCCGAAAAAAAAATAAAAAAGCAAGAACAGAACACCTCGATCAGAGCAGCCAATCACAGACTGAGCCGCATTCTGCCTGTTTAATATGGGACATCTGGAGGGCTGTATGGATTTAACAGTTAACAGGTGTTGTTTGTGTGATCAGGAGTGTGGCACGTGAACAAATCCGCTGGCTGTTGCTTATATTGTGCACGTGTCAGTTACATTTAGGGAGAGGGAAAAAAAAAAGTGAGCGATTTGTTTCTGCCCGTGATCTCCTTAGTGCTCGTGCCCGGGGAAGAAAAATGACGCTTTTATTTTGTGGAGGCCTCTTCTTTAGGGTGAACGTATGAGCGGGCACGGGGTTAAATGAGTCCACGGCGGCTTTGTGCTCAGCTCGCTGCCTGTTGCTCGGCAGGCCTGTGTGGCGCCACGGAGAGACTCGCAGGCGTTTCGCTCTGGAGCACAGGAGAAAGGCTCACGTTGCTGCAGCGCTCGCCAACCCTACCAGCAGCCTGAATGTGTTGCCATGGCGACCAAATCTGAGCAGTGTCTGGCTCTCTCTCTCTCTCTCTCTCTTTTTCTACTTTTTATCCCCCCCCCTCTCTCCCTTCATCTTCCTCCTCTCACTTTCTCTCCCTCACATCTCGTAGCTCACCTCCCTCCCCCCCCCCCCCCTCCACCACATTATTTTCCTCTCTCAATCTATCTCTTAACTTCTTCCCTTTTCTTTTTCCTCTCTCGCACATACAAACACACTCTATCACAGTGGCAGCCAATGGAACGGCGCCATCCAATCAGATCCGTTTGCATAACGAGCTTGTTATGCAGAGGCCTGTGGTTGCAGAGCTGGTGCTCCAGCACCCGTCTAGACAAATCTCATTTATGCATAAGAAGAAGGAGAGAAAGAAAGAGAGAGTAAATTGAAGATTGTGGATGGGGGATGGGGGAGGAGATGGAGGTGGAGGAGAGAAAAGCAAAGAAGCCGAACTGCCATCGAGAGCAACCACGAGGATACAGCAGAGCTGTGCAACAACCTCACGGTGGCCCAGAGTTCAATGTTAAACACATATCATTAAAGAAACGAGAGGGAACAGCAGAAAAAAAGAGGAGGATTGTACTTTCTGAGGGAAGGAAATCAGAAAAGCCGATAAGATAATCAAATGAAAGGCTTCCTCATTATGTTACCGCCTGGGGGACATTGCAATGAATGCCACAGAAAATATCAACTGAAAGAAAAAGTGGAAATTCAAATAAATATACCTCAAATAGAGGAAGGAACTCAACTGGAAATAGTCTGGGTAACAAAACAACAGTGTCTTATTTTTCCTTGAAATCAGAATCGGCTGTTTATTGGCTTCCAGTTCCAGAGGGGACAGTAAATTTATAAAACATGAAAAGATTCATCTTGAACCAATTGTATCTCTGCAAGCAGCTTTCCGACAGTTTCATGGACATTTTACTCCGACCCATTAGTCCTGCCTGTAAAATTGACTGTTTTCGGTAATGTGACAGTCTCCTATCTTTCTTTTACTGTGAACGAGAGAGGGGAAAGCCGAATTATGCAACTTTCCCCGACACCCGTTCTCCCTGCCAGAAGCTGTGACCTCAGACTGGGATGTGCCACTGACAGTTTCTGACCCCAATTGGCTTTTTAGCCCCTGTCTGACAGCAACCTTTAGGGAGCGATTGGAAGTGAATTACAGCTACAGCTGTAGCTCACAGGGAGGGAAGAGAAAGAAAGAGAAAGAAAAGCGTGAAGCCGCAGTATCATGACGAAGGTGAGGCGAAGGGATACAGATGAGACACGAGGGGTGGGAGACAGAGAAGACAGAGAAGAAAATAAGAGAATACGGAGACTTTGTGTGAAGAGGACTAGAATAGGGGATTGGAGGACCCTCCCCTTCTCCTCCTTCCTACTCCTCATTAGCTCGGTGAGACCCGGCAGAGCTCAGTGTTTACTACGAGCTGCCAAGGGGCTGAGTGGCAGCCTAGCCAGTCGAGCTCCCCCGCTGCTGGCAGCTCCAGCCAGCAGTGGGAAACATCCCGGCCACGTCAGTGACACTGCCCAAGCCACTGCCAGCACAGGAAGGGGAAAAATTGTTTGGCAACGCGGCCAGATCCTGCAATTACTCAGCTTGTGCGTTTGGAAAATTAAGTTAGATAAAGATGAAATCATGAGATACTGACTTTTGGTATGATGTGCCATAAACCATCCCTAATCCATCTAAATGGTGGGTCACATGCACAATCATTAGATGCACACCCTCAGATAATCATCGAATTACAGCTTACGTCCGCTTTACAGAGCTGTAAGTAATCACGTAGCATGACTTTGTTTCTTCGAAGTCAGTTTTAAAACTGACTCACAGGACGAGACTTTATAGCTATAATAAAAGGGCTATTTTCAATACTCTTGTTGATTCTGTTCATTTTGTTTATTATATAAAGCTCCCTTAATAGACAAAGCAGTAGTTTAACAGGCAAGCATCAGCAAATGATTTTTGATTGGGGTAGGAATGGTTGCAGACATGTTGGAGGTTGCTTTTATGCTTTTAGAGGGTATTAGTCATCATGGGCGGGTCAGGTTAAAGCTAATGGGTCTGGTGGGTGATAGGCTCAGGCTAGCCACACATGATCTCGGTGAAGAGAAGACAGACTCCGTGATGTCACAGATGTCAAACTCTGCTCGTCAGCTTTACAGAGGCAGGAAAATGTCTGAAGACTTGCAGGACTTGAGTTTGGCGAACACTCAAGTGGACAAAGATGTGGTTGGATTGATTAGGTTTCAAATAAGACTCACACTGAGTTCTTTGCCAAATTTGTGAGTTGGGAATTGTAACCACAAAGCTACCTGATGGGGGGTAAATAACAACAACAAGAATGTTTATGTGATCTGTTGGGACTTTAGTTACTTGGAATATGACTCGATAAAGGGACATGTCCCTGCCACCCCGTTGGGAACGAATAGTATAGAAAACAGATGGATGACCTAATGAACTAATGGATGAACTAATTTAGACCGTTTATATCCATTATGGTAATGCTGTATTTTGCTTTGTTTAAGCTAATTTGCTGAGTCTACACAAACTTTCAAATCGGCAACAGCATTGAATAAGACTGTGAAATCCAAAAGGAAATCGGACGTGACCTGTTCTGTCATCTTTTTCACTGAAAGACGGCGAAGCTGCTCTATCAAAGCCGGCGTTTCAGGGCTCAGATGCCTGTTGCTTCCTTGGCAAAAATGCAGAGCCTATGGCCCGCAGTCCCTGCCATCAGCACCAGTGCCACACGAGGCACAAATCCACACTCTAAACCGGCATTTGGTGCCCACTGCTTACTCTGGCAGCAGCTGCGATGCCGCTGCCAACCTCCCTTTGGCCTGAGACAGTCCACTGCTTCCCCCCTTTAGATGGCAGAGGTGGTCCAGCAGCCAAAGCGCACCTTTAATCCAATTGCAAAGACATCAAAAGCGCATTGATGTGCGAAACAGAGGATGGCGGGTGCAGCTCGAGCCAACATTCCTGCCAAACGCTCGCGCGCAAGGTCACGACAGACAGGGCTGCTATTGAATTACAGCCTACCTCTTTTTTCCTCTTCTTTACTTTGGGTATTTTGCCCTCTTTCATCTTTTTCGGTTTCTTCTTCTTCTTTTGCTGTTTGAGGGAGTCATCATCAGAGAAGAAGCTGGCGAGGGGCATGAGAGGAACACTGTTGCGCTCACCTTCATCATCCTCATCTACAGAAACAGAGAGAGGGCGAGAAAAACAATAAATGTACCACACCGAACAATCAAAAATAAAGACAAAATGAACGTTACTGCTTAATTGGAAGTCTCATTGGCCAATTCTACTTTGATGAGACGCAGTGCATCGTGACGCGACAGCTTACTAGTGTAAACAGATTTGGTTTTGTTGACATTTTTACACAAATCTATTCCCACATTTCCTATACCAGCTGTCACTGGGCTAGAATTTGGGTGAACCCTGTACGGGTCGCCAGTCCATCCACCGCAAGGCCACACAGAGACATCGAGACGGGCCGCTGTGTGTGTTCACACCCCCTCCTGGAGTTTAATTAACCCAACACGACTGTTTCCGGATGGTGGGAGGAAAGCCCGAGCACCGGGGGACGACCCACGCAGGCGTGGGGCGAGCACGCTAAATCCACACAGCCGGTGCTCTGACGCTGCTAACCACCGCACAATAAGAACAGCCCCCGAAGGAGGAGGACTTGCAGCGCTGCCAGCATTTGTTGCTCCAAAATAAATGTCGGTGAATATGCACATTGACAGATATGCAGGTAACAGCGGGCGCACGGCTGCCCTTAAAAATTCACCTCAGATACTGGCCTTTAACCCGTAGCAACCAGCTCTGGTGGTGCAGAGTCTCATTTCCGAGGCAGTTAATTTTCTGATATATCAGAAAACAGGATTATATGCCACTGTATTCCACTCTATTCTTCTTCAATGAGCTCAGAACCTATTTATGTGTGGTTGTTTTTTCCTGTTTCATGTTGTTGCACTGGACCGTGTTCACTCAAGAAGGTCTTTACTGTGATTTAGGTAATAGAGCTGAGTCTGTTTCAATGTATTTCGACCTTGAGAAAAATGGAAATGAGCAGGACGTTTGCAGTGAAATGAGCTCATTAGGAAACATCTTTTCGTGATCCTGTGTTGTGAATATTCGTCCCTTTGTTGTCGACCCATTTACATGAAAAATGGACATAATTTGTTATTTTCTGGCGTGTTCCTCTCCATCTTTACCTCCGAAAGATTCGGCTTTGAATGCATCCTGCTATCATCCTGATCAGCGGCAGGATGCTCCACCAGTCTCTTCCTGTTACTAAAAACCAACAGATTTTCTGGTTTTCAACTATTTATTTGTTTTTCTTCGTGTGTTTTCTTTCCTTAAAAAAAAAAAAGAAGCCAAAAATGGTGAAAAAACCCAGTACGGCGAAAAAGTTAATTAGCCTGGTTCAAAATCAACTTTGACGAATCGGTGTCAGGCTAGCGGGAGCGCTTTGGTAAAAAAACAAACCTCATAATCACACTTTGCAAAGTGTGGCTCAACTTTAATCATCGCGACACGAATAAATGGATCGCCTGCCCCGCCGTTTAATGGCGCCTCCCCGGAGGACCGCTGAGGTACGCTGTGCGTGTCTTCTGCCTCTTTAATGCTCGCCGGGCCTAAAGAGAGCGGCTGCTGGCTGTCAGCTGCACAGCCTCCCAGCTGCTGTGAACAAGCTCCCTGACTGCTGAGCGCAGCACACCCCACTGATGCCTCAGTGGGTCACGGAGGAGTAAGAAAAAGGAGACGGGCGGGCCCCCCCAAAACAATGCATCACTTTAAAGAGACACGCAGCGGGGGGGGGAGACGCGTGATGTAACCGGCCCGCGAAGGTTGATGGGATCTCGCTTTGGCTGGCCGTCTCCGACTGTCTCTCGGCCTCTTCCGGTCAATCTATCTGCATGGGCCCCCCCACCCCTGTGTCTCACGCTGACAGATTGGAGGGCATGAAATATGCAGCGCATGTATCAGAGTCAATCAGCCAGCACTAGCACTGCAGTGTACCACTCCCCTGGGTAGCCGGAGTGAGAGACCGGGAGAAGGGATTCCTGTGTAGTAGACACACAAACCTCAGCAGACACTTATCCGCCGCTTAGCAAAGCTAGCGGGAGGCCCCTCCGCAGCATACGGTTCCAGTCCTGTCATTTCCAAGCTTTAATCAGCGGCAGTGTCGAGCTAATTGTTTTCCTCTGGCTACTATGAAACGCGTCACAGTGCCTGTAATACTAACTGGGGATGACTTGTGCTTTTATGCGATCGATATAAAGAAGGTGCTCCCAGACAGCATTTCAAACTGGCATGAATTACTAAAATATCTAGCGGGTAACTTGATTAGCCTTCCTTGCTCCTTTTTTTTTCTCCGCCTCTCGAAGGCTCATTTCGGCTCAGGTTCTTTTCTCTTATGTGACTTCTTTTCTTCGCCCTAAATAAAGCCGGGAGTTTATCTATTCAGTATCTCAAACAGAGAGCTCTTTTATGTCTCAGATGCGTGTTAGCTACCTGCCAGACGAGACATGATGGCAACACAGCACGCATCTCACATCTCTTTTAGATGATGACAGGGCTCCGGTGCAGTAAAGAGGCCGCTTTGGATTTCATAGCGCAAACCGTCGAACGTTCTGCACGTTTCTCTTTGTGCATTTGGAAGAGGGGAAAGATGACTGACAGGCTGACCACACATCACTGATTGCAAACACCACATGCCCGAGCGTGTGTCTCCTGCTCAGCTTCCAGTGCGATACATCACTCACAGTTGACAGCGGCGATGCAGCGTGACCCGTGCGGGGTTTAAATGATTCGGTCAGGAACACCTTGTTCACTTAGAGCCGACAAGTCAAGTCCTTTTCAGCTGCTCCAGTAACTAAATTGTAAGTGCAGCGAGGAGGCTGCCTGTTATCAGTTTTTCAACTTTGCTCAGAAATGTTCCCAAGTGATGGACTTAACTTAAACTTGTGATTTTCTGACTTTTCCTCGAAAGGGTTTCTTTCTTCCTTTTTTTTCCCTGGGACCTAAATGTTGATTTCCGGGATTGCCATGAATTTCAGCTTTTACACATTTACCAAACATCTACTTCATGATTTTGAAATTCTGGTTGATGGTTGTCTCATAAATAAGTGCAATTGATTTCCTCATCTTTAGATGTATTTTTATAGAGAGCAACCATCTCTTGCTACGTGATTTAAAAATCCAATTATTTGAGATTGATTAATTACAAAGCCCCTGATAAATTCAAATTTTTTTCTTTTTGTTAATCCTGCCCAGCCGTTATACATCTATATAGACAAATCTGTGATAAATACAGTTACCTTTGTGTTAGCAAACCAATTTCTACTGAGAAAATGCTTTAGGGGTAATATATCAGTAGAAAGTTAGAGGGTGATCAAGAAGATGGAAAGTATACGAAACCACACTAATCCCTTCTCTGTTGACTCTTGAGAGGAACTGTCCACTTATTGTTAAGTGGTAACTCTAGTTAAAAACAGAAAAATAAATGTTTTTCTGTATAGGTAGGCGCACCCCTCAAATGCCTTCAGATAAAGACATCCACAAGCTACTCTTAGGAAAAGAAATCATCAAAGTGGTGGAAGGTTGAAAGCTTATATACAACCTTGTGTATAATGGATCCAATAGTTTCATAATTGGTCCAGTATATGTCAGGGAAAAAAATGGAAATGCTGCATTGCTCCGCTGTGAATTCACAGACACATTCAAAAGCATCTTTTATTCTTAGGTTACGTGCACGCGCAGGAGGGAAAAAAAATTGTGTCAACTTTCACTGTGAGGGATCCAAAAATAGTACCCTATCCAACTGGGGATAACGTTTGCAGGCACACAAAAGCCCATGATAATCTTTCAGTTTTAGGGAAGAAGAAAGCAATTAAAACAGAAAACACAACGGAACAGTGTGTGACAGGATAAGTATCCAGAGCGAAACAAAGGAAGAGGCCACGCCGCGTGTCACGACAATTAGTGGGAGTGAAAAGACAGCATTTTGGGGTGTGTAATCCCACTTGCATGTACCTCCACAAATGTAATGGGAAATTGCCTGACGGCATCCTACTTCTGGGCAAGGTGTGACCTGGATCCTTGACATTGCCTGTACTACTTCCTGCATCAGTATCATAAAAATAGACCTGCAACATGACATCACGGTCAGTGGAGTTTTTAAAAAGTCACCCTCCCCAAAAAATACTATGCAATCCAAACGCACAGATGTCAGATACCATATCAAACCTGACCATACTTCACCCTCCGCTCTCCGGCTAAAGGTTCAAACAACTGTCCAGTAAAACAGCAAAGTTCAGCAAAAGTTTTGTCCCTTCTGCCATCACAGCCTGGAACAGCAGGCTGTAAAGTTTAGCTGTCAGTGTATGTAATTCTATTTCTGTCTAAATTGTATGTTATTGTTGGTGTTTTACATACATACATACATACATACATACATACATACATACATACATAC